TCCTACAACAACAGCATTTTATGTTCATGTCATAGTGTTATTCATGTCTTCATCAATGTCCTACATCGATTTTCCAGCTCCTCCCATGGGAGTTTTTTTTACGATGTGGCTGAATCATAGCTAACACATCAAGTAATCCCGTGTAAATAAATTTGCTCTATACCCAGCCAATCTGATGATAAGATTCAACAATGTCCTTCATACACCCACCTGCATGAAGTATATCTAAAATACATGCCCTGCACAAGCCACCCCCATTAACTCGTACTGGCTGCATAAAGACTTGTAAATGCTATGCAGGCCATCAAGTACCCAGCAGGGATTAATTCAACACATCTGACAGAGTGCCAAAACCCGACTACCAGACAAAGTGCATACGAATTTAAAGTGCCATGGCCCACTCACTACTGCGTATTCCAATGTAATATTGAGTAGGTGTGATCGTATTGGAAAATGTCCTATATTAATTAGTCATCTCAAAGCACAAGCGGGCGGCCGAGATTTCGGCATTGCGTGGCACCATGTCCCAAAAATCCGCGTCGGTACTGCCAGCCACTATACCATATGGCCAATAGTGAATGATTATAGCATGAATTGTTTTTAGCTATAACGCAGTATTCACTCTAGCGTTTGATTTATGTAGCATACGAATTATTCAATTGTTATGAACGCATTTTAAAAAACATGAACACAATTTTGGAAATGTGAACAAAAATTAAAAATTTAAAATAGTTTTTGAATTCCAGGAACAAAGCTTAGAATTTCTTCAGATTTTGAAATTTTTTGAACATTATTTGTAAAATGATAAAAAATATTTTCCAAAATTCGAACATTTTTTTGAACTTTTTTAATCAAAATTTCTGAAACTTGGGGACTTTTTGCGAAGTGAACAAAATATTGAAAATGTGAATTTTATTGAAATTCCTAAGAATTTATTCAAACACCAATTTTTTCTGAAATTATAATTAAAATTTAAAAAACACGAACATTTTTTGAAATACCTGTAAATAGAAAAAAATATGAAATTGTGAACAAGGTTTAAAATGAGAACATTTTTTAAATCCATAAGACTTTTTTGAAACATGAACATTTTTCAAAATCATGAACAAAATTTTGAAAATGACAAACATTTTTGAGACATGAACATTTTTTGAAAGCAAGACCATTTTTTGAAACACGAACATATTTTGAAAATTGTGAACAAAATTGTGAACACAAGAACATTTTTTGAAATTTGGAAAAATATCGAAACAAAAGAAACAGGGAAAACAAATACAAATACAAAAAATAAAAAGAAAAATAAAAAAGAAACAACAAGCAAAAAGGGAAAAAAAGAAAAAAACAGCAAGAAAAAACAAAAGAGAAAGAAAAAAACCAAAAAATGAAACAGAGACAAAAAAAGAAAAGGAAAATAGAATAACCGGTCTAGGAACCTTCTAGGCGTCCCCCAACGATAAAAACCATCAGGAAACCTCTAGAAGATTCCTAAAACCAATAACTTTTTTTGGAGGTAAAACCAATACCTTGTACCTACTACAGATGGGCAGGCCCAATCGCTCGAGATATGCCATAGAGACAATCATGTATGATGATATTTCCTAGGTGTTTATGAATAAAGATAGTTCTTGGACGTTATCAATGATGTGTATCAGCAACTACGTGACTTGTGTGTGGGACTATACATTATATGATGACGGTCCTAAAGGGTCCCTAGTCGAAAGGATTGTGTGGACGCACAACCGACAAGACTAACATATGTCACGGTGGATGGCTCGGCCTCATTAGCCATGGAGCATTGGATGCTAAACGGATAATATGGATTCGGAAGGATCTCGTCAGATTCAACGTAGTCGGATCCGAGTCGAGATAAGGTCCAAGTCGGACAGACCCAACTATGAGAGGCAGCGATATGTCATCTGTGAGTCTCTAGTGCAACATACTTTCTATGACCTAAGACCTGAGTTGGCCTGCATTGTCTCTGTTTTAAGCTACGAGACATGGTCGAGCAAGATGGGATTCGCCCCTCCGATCAGGAGAGATATACTCTGGGCCCCTCGTGTGATCCGACCAAGATAAGCATGGCCATGCGACAAGGATTATGAGATAATCTGTTTTGTTGTCGGCATCATTGGAACGAGAAAGAGGTCGGGCTAGCACAAGGATGACAGACTCGCATTGAGCCCGACAACATATATCGTGTGGCAAAGGGAATAGATGTGTGACATGTTGTAAAGGTTCGCCAACTGGCTTCATTGTCTACTTGGAGGTCGGCACGCCTTGCTAGAGGCCGCTACCAGCCGAGCAAGTCGGAGGTGATCCGACTTGGTCCTAAGGGGTCGTGCACTTAGAAGGAACCTGTGAGGCCCGATCCGACTCCACGAGTTAGATGTGATCCTACTCAAACTCGGATCCCAACCGGGCGGATTTTAGGCTTTAGGGTCCGTGCGGGGCCCAAGTGTTGAGCCCGCGATGGACGCCTGTATAAAGTGGGGGTGCGGCACACTCATTCGGTTGATCGCTTCGGCGTTGTCACAAGGGTTTGCATGTGTTGTAAATAGCCACCTCCACTCGCCGCCGACTTTGAGATCGGACCTTGCAGCCCGTTGCACGGTGTTCCTCCTGCACGTGCGGATACCGTTAGAGGCGGTGCACTTGCGCCGCTCCCGTGAACCTGTACATGGGATCCTATGAGCGTTTGTTCGAGGGAGATCGGACGAGGATGAGATGATCCACGTGGACGCGCTGCCCCAACTCTTTTTCCGCTGCACTGCACTGCGCGTCTAGTGGTAACGATATGTGATCCATCTCCCGTAGCATGTTCTTGGTTGTTCTGCGTGTAGAAATTTTTTAATTTGAAGTCGACGTACCCTACCTTAGAACCCCACACTCAACCCGTTTGTGCGGTTGCTGGACATTTTAAGGCAAAATGCGTCAAATAGGGATTTCCCCAAGAGCTCCCTAAAAAGGAGAATATAAGGCCGTTATCCAATACGAGAGCGGCCGTTTCGGCACGCTAGATACCAGAAAACCTAGCCGCCATCGCAAGAGATCCAACTTTTCCGGCACCGTCTTCCGGCGGCTCCCCTCTGCCGGTGACCTTTTGGTCGTCGGTGGTGAGGTGGGGCGCCGGATCCCGTGCGTGCGGATCATTGTAGCTGTAGGTTCTAGGGGCCTAGTGTTGGGGAACGTAGTAATTTTAAAAAATTTCCTGCGCACACGCAAGATCATGGTGATACATAGCAACAAGAGGGGAGAGTGATGTCCACGTACCCACGTAGACCGAAAGTGGAAGCGTTAGCACAATGCGGTTGATGTAGTCGTACGTCTTCGCAATCCGACCGATCAAGTACCGAACGCACAGCACCTCCGAGTTCAGCACACGTTTAGCTCGATGACGTCCCTCAAACTCCGATCCAGACGAGCTTTGAGGGAGAGTTCCGTCAACACGACGGCGTGGTGACGATGAGGATGTTTTACCGACGCAGGACTTCGCCTATGCACCGCTACGATATTATCAAGGTGGATTATGGTGGAGGGGGGCACCGCACACGGCTAAGAGATCCAAGGG